AACCTTCACTCATAGGCCACACACAAGCAGGCTGCAGATTCAGCTGGAGGTTAGTGGTTTGCAACACTGATATCCTGTAGTTTCTTGTCCTTGTGTATGAGATGTTGTAAGAAACTTAGTTAAATGCCTTGATCCTCGAAATTCAGACACACGGTGCATCTGCTTGATTTTTCTGAAATGTTGCCTTAGAGTCTAGAAGGCACATCACCTTGGCTTGCTCCAGTTCACTCAGCACCGGCGACCCTTCGACACCCTCCTAACTCACCTTGGGTTTTCCCTTTCAATGCTCTGTCTGCCTTTTTCAGTTCAAAGATCCTTCTGGACGGAAAAGACAGAGGCAAAATAGGAGTTTATCATCCACAGTGCACCACTGGCGGAGAGCAGTGTGCCCATTCCGTCTTGTTCTTTTTGCGTTTTGTACGATAAGATAGCCTTTTTGGGTTTCCTCCACATTTTCTGGAAGCTTCATCTCATTTTCGGCTTTCACTTTCTGATACCACTCATCCGTCTGTGCCACTCGTAGACGTTGGCATAAGCAGCTTGCGTAAGTAGCTTGCACACCCAAACTGGTTACTTTTTTTCATAAAGCATTGCTGAAATTGCACAGAGAAGAGGGAAGGAAAGAACAGGAAGAGGAAGGAGGACGGTCCTTATCTCCCTACAAACAGTTAACTCTTGGATGGCAAGGTCCACTCTCTTCCATCTTGTGTTGTCCAGGAGCGCCTCGCTCCGTGCCCCACACCCAGGCACCTGGTCCAGTTGCATAGAATGCCCATCCCAGTCTGCAGAAGGCCCACTTGGGCTTGCATAGCTCAGTCCTACAGCCTAGAGGCAGCCCTGCACTACATCTGATAGGTATTCAGTCAAAATCACAATTCCTTGGTGTTTTCTACTTAAAAAAAAAAATCTTCCACAAAACACCAAATTCACCATCTTAGCCAATTTAAGGCGCATAATTGAGTAGCGTGGCACAGCCATTGCCACTAGGTTCAGAACGTTTTCGGCATCCCGAGAGGAAACCCCATCCCCATGAGCCACTGCCCATCCCCCCCACTCCTACCCGAACCTGGCAACCAGCAACCTGCCCCCTGTCCCTGTGGATTCACCCCTTCTGGACGTTTCCTATAAATGGAATCCTATAGCCCATGACATCGTGTCTGGCTTCTTGACTTAGCATGATGTTTCTGAGGTTCATCCACGCTCCTTTTTGTGTGTGGATGTGTGTTTTGATTGTGGCAAAACACATGTAACATAAAAATGTCCCATCTTAACCACTTTTAACGGTCCAGTTCAGGGGCATTGAGTGCATTCACACTTCTGCACCTGTCATCACCATCCATTTCCAGAACCTTTTCATCTTCCCAAACTGAGATTGGTCTCCACTGAACACTAACTCCCCATTCCCCCTTCCTCCCAGCCCCCGGCACCCACCATTCTGCGTCTGTCTCTTCTATTTTGACTGCTCAAAGTAGCTCACGTACATGGAGTCCAACAGTATCCTTCCTTCTGTGTCTGGCTAACTTCACCGAGCATCATATACTCCAGGTTCATCCACACTGTAGTGTGTGGTAGGATTTCCATCTTTCTGAGGCTGAATAATATTCCATTGTGTGAACAGACCATGTCTTTACTTATCCATTGCTCTGTGGACGAACACCTGTGTTGCTCCCACCAGTGTTTTCCACTTCAGAGCACTGGTTTCCTGCTGCACGGTCTTGACCACCCTCCTCCCAACTCAGGTTTGTACCCCTCGCCAATTGCAGGAGTGATTGACAGTTTTTAATCTTGTCAACTTGCTTACTCCATCTTCCCTTCCAGATGATGAGACTGCAGAACAGTGCCTTTCTTTCTGCTAAGCCCTCTGAAATCTGTGTGACCCAGATGGCTTGGTTACTCCCCACCTATCCTGAACCTGGAGGATATGGTTGGGGGCTTCATAGAATGGGAGGAAGAGGGAGATGTGATTCTAATTTCAATACCCCCCAGGTTGTGATACAGAGAAGCCACACAAAATACTAAAAAGAAAAAAAAAATACTGTCATAGTCTGTCTGGGCTGCCGTGATAAAATGCCATAGACTGAGTGGCTTAAATAACAGGAATTTATTTTTCACAGTTCTAGAGATTAGGTGCCTGCTGATTCAGATCCCTGGAGAGGGCTCTCCCTGTGACTTGTAGACGGCTGCCTTCTTGTTCTGTCCTCACATGGTGGAGAGAAAGAAAATGAGAGAAAGCAAAGATGCTCTGGTGTCTCTCTCTCCTTTTTTTAATGTTTTATTTGTTTTTGAGAGAGAGAGAGGAAGTTGGGAAGGGGCAGAGAGAAAGGAGGACAGAGGATCGAAGCAGGCTCTATGCTGACAGCCTCGAGCCCGACGTGGGGCTCAAATTCACAAACTGTGAGATCATGACCTGAGCCAAAGTCAGACACTCAGTGGACTGAGCCACCCAGGCGCCCCCATAAGGGCATCGATTTCATCATGAGGAGCCCATTCTGACGAGTTCACATAACCCTAATCACCTCCCTAAAGCCCTCATCTCCAGATACCGTCACATTGGAGGTTACGACTTCAACTTACAAATGTGGGGGGTACACAATTCTGTTCATAACAAATAACCTTTTATAAAAACAAGGAAATGAGTAGAAGTATTTAGCTATATAGAGCCTAGCTAAGTACTAGAGGATAATAAGAACAAGTAGCTGGATATCATTAGTTAGGGCAGCTTCTATGTAACTATCAGCAAGAATTTTTTTTTTTTGAGAAAGAGCAGGTCGGGGAGTGAGGGAGGGGCAGAAGGTTGGCAGGGGAGAGAAAGAGATTGAGAATCTGAAGCAGGCTTCACGATCAGTGTGGAGCCAGACATGGGGCTCAATCCCACCACCCCACCACCCCAGGATCATGACCTGAGCCAAAACCAAGAGTCAGACGCTCAACTGACTGAGCCACCCGGGTGCTCCCCGCTCCCCCCCCCCCCCCCCCCCCCCCCAGCAAGATTTTTGACTTAAGAACTGTGAGGAACTTGGAGGAAGGAGAAGATGGGGCATCCTAGGCAGGAGAGGGGAGTGCACACGGTAGGGAGCACTGACAAGGAGGTCTGCTTGGAGAGATCTGAGCAGACAAGGCCTTCATCCATCAGTTCGTCTGGGTACCAGGCATAGTATGTGTGCTCATGGGGGAAACGGCCAGATAACATGGTCCCTGCCCTCACGGAGATCACTGGCAGGTGGGGAAAGACACCAAGCAAATGAACAAACAAGGGAATTTCAGCTTGCGATAAGAGCTTCTACAGGAAATAACCAGGGTGGTTAATCTTGGTAAAGAGATACTGCAGGACAAGGGGTGGGGAGATGCCGTAGATTAGATGGGCCGCCTAGGAGGTGACATTTGAACAGCCTGGAGAGGGAGGAAAAGCCAGCCTTGCAGATGGAAGAGCTTCCAGGCATAAGGAGTGTCAGCGACAGAAAGACTTAGAAACGCCAAAGGAACAAAAAGACAGCAGTGTGGTTGGACCGGGTGGGCTGCATGAAAGCACGGACTTCATTCCGTGTGCACACGGTGACCAGCTCTGAGCGGGGGCGTGACCTCACGCGCGTTCATACAGATCACTCTGGTTGCTGGGTGCAGAGCAGCTTGGGAAGGGCCGGTACGGTGGGGACCCTATCTCAGTGGCCCAGTGGGGACATCCTAGTGGTTTGGGCTGCGGAGGAGGCAGAGGAGTGGAGAGAAGCAGAGGGGCCAGGGGGTGGGAAGGGCCCAATGGTCGATGTCTGGATGGAAACTCAGAGGCAAAGGCTCATTAAGGAGGACTCGGAGGGACACGGGGAGAGAAATACACAGGTGGGCGTGCTGGCGGAAGTTGGGAGTGCAAAGCCACGGGCTTAGTTGAGATCATTAAGGAGGGAGGGCAAGTGGATAGAGATCTGGGGACGAGCCACCGAAGAAACCAGGGGACCAGGCGTCAGGGGTGGGAGGCGAGAGGCAGGCTGCTGACGGGGGCACAGTGTGGGGAGCCGAACTGGGTTGGAATCCTGGCCCCACCTGCTGTTGCCTGTGCTACTTTGGACAACTTGACTCGGAAAATGTGGGCTCAGATTCCCCGCCTTCCAGGGCTGAAGGGGAAGATCAGAAGCAAATCTCCTGAGTGCAGCGCTCCGGGCCAGCTCTGCTGACAGCAATGATGACCGTGCTACTATTCTTTCTGATCCAGAGAAGATTTAAAAAGACTTGATGTGGGACACCATGCATTCTTAGTGCGAAGGCACCCAGTGCGGAAAGCCACGTTTCATCTTCTGCACCTTGATCGTCCTTCCCCCGGGCTCTCATGACTTCACCTGGGTTCTGAACCCTGCCGCCCTGGCTCAGGCTCCGCGTCCCGGCCATGAACTCAAGCTGTGCCCCCCTCTCCCGTGACTGCTGCAGCGCCCTCCTGCGCTCCGTGCGTCCCCGGTGTCTTACCCTCTCCTCACCCATCACCAGCCTGGTCCTCCCCAGAGGACCCCTTTCTGCCCTGCGTCTCGGCATCGGCCACTGGGAAGAAAGTTCTCCCAGCCCTGTGTTGGCTGAGCCCAGTTCATGGAGGCCATCTCAGGGGCGCAGGCTGGTTGGGGGAAGGATGAGACCTGAGACCAACTTGCAGGTGTGAAAAGCGCCCTTCCTCTGGTCTGTTTCCCTCAGGCTCCAAACCAGATGAGGGGAAGCACACTGTAAGGTGTCACCAGCTCCCAGCCTGTCCCCAGGCCACTGGCGGCCACCAGCTGTGCCTTTGCTCAGCCACCTGCACCCCACGTGCTCTTGGCATTTACTTTCTCTGCCTTCCTTCTATCTCACTTTCTGCTTTCCCCTTCTGCTGCCCCGCCTGGTCTCACATTTCCGTCCGTGTGGCGCCGGGCAGGGGCCCCTCCAGTCCCTTGCTTTGGGACCTGCCGCCCCGACCCTGCCACATCTTCTCTGCCCGGCCCCGCCATGGAACCTTTGCGAGCCAGCCCAGCCTTGGCAGCCCAAGCATGGGGCCCCTGCCAGGAGCTGTGTGCGTGGCCGGACAGTGCCCAGCTGGCCCCCAGAGGCTGAGCCCAGGCCCCGCTTCCCGCAGCAGCAAGGCCCCACGGTTTTCCATTGGGTGCAGCCTGGCCGAGGCTACCCTAAAGGAGCAGAGGAAGGGGCTGGAGAAGGAGAAGGAGGCGCTTGGGAGAATGTCCCCCTTCCTGCGGTGCCTGCTGATAATTGGCTCTCCGGAACCAGCTCGGGACCCACGGGCCAGCTGGGCCAGGAAGCAGTGCACAATGCTGGGGGGGGACTCTGCGTGGTCGCAGGTCTTGTGTGACTCCAGGGAAATCTGGAGTACAGCCTGTTCTCAGAGGACGTTCTCTAACCTAGACCGGAGGTGAGAAATCGAACCCCGACTTCTCACTCTCTGTCCTGGGAGGGTCCCTGCAGGCATCACCTGGTTCCTGATGATTTCTTGCAGGGAGAGTCTGGGGAGGGGAGGGAAAGGGAAAAGATTTTCTCAAGGAACCATGAATCATTGCCTACCTGGTGCTTTTTAGAGGGGGAGCCTGGGAAGCAATCCACTCCTTAATCACTTAATGGTTTATTAAGACTCTGCACCTGCCTTAGCAGCTGTGGGCCCTCGAGGGAAGAAGGCAGGTCCTTGCCCTCGGGAGTTTAATCTCGGTGGGGAGGTGAGACAACATACCAAGTGTCAAACTCTAAGAAAAATTGGAATTCAAGAAGAAGGTTGGAAAGAAGAACTAGTGGCCAGAGTGGCCTGGCCGGTCTAAAGGACGGTAAAGTTTGGTCTGCCCTGGGAAGACGGGCAGAATTTGGAATGTAGAAGGAAGCAGAGCATGTGTGGCATGAAATTTTACAGAACTACAGGAAAGTTGTCGTCGTAGCTAGGAACTTCTGTCCTGGAAACATCCTGGTGTCCGACGTTCCGAGGACCCCCGAGGACCCACAGCCTGCCATTACGAGCCCAGAATGCTGAGGCTCAGCCCTGCCAACGAGCCCAATAAATCTCTGGCTCAGAAACCGGGCGGCCTGCCTACAGCCGTGGGCCGGGCTCTCTGGGGCACTTATATGTTAGGGAAGCATTGGTCGGGGAACTTGGGGCATGTGGGCCACAGTAATGGAAAACTCCAGTGAGCTGCAAGTGAAGGGGCCGGGGCAGCCTCCACAGGAGCAGGCAGGGCTTGCGGGGGTCAGGGAGCTGTTGGTTTGGGCAGAAACTTCATTCCGCAGCCCAGCATCAGGCTGGGCCCTTGGTCAGTGTCCTAGACTCGTACTGGGGGCTGCGACTATATGTGCACGTGGAAATTGTTCCACGCTTTCCTTTTCTTTTTTTTAAGTTTATTTATTTTTGAGAAAGAGGGAACGAGAGAGTGCACACTTATGAGTGGGGGAAGGACAGAGAGAGGGAGACAGAGAATCTCAAGCAGCCTCCGCATTGTCAACGTACAGCCTGATGGGCTGCTCAATCTCACCAGTCTGAGCTCGTGACCTGAGCTGAGATCAAGAGTCAGACCCTTAACCGACTGAGCCACCCAGGTGCCGCTGAGTAGTGTTTTATGTGTGAGTTGATCCTGCATAGAGTTGGAACCGTCCCCTCCCTCATTCTGAACACTATACTCCTTTTCATACAGCCAGAGCTCAGATTTGCATTTTGACCAATCACATCATAGTGTTGCTTACAGTAAGTTAGCAGGCAAATAAAACACCTAATTTATTTCACAAGGGCTGATTTGAATCCTGCTTCCCCTGTGCCGGAGAGTTAGATCTAAATATAGGAAATCTCTTTGGTACCTACTGGGTTGCATATTGGGAAATGTTACTGTGGAAAGCATTTGGATTCTGATTCTGTGTTCCTGATGTGGAGGGCCATGTCTGCTATGGGGATGGTGACTCAGGGGCTGAGCTAGAGCCACATCGCAGAGTCTGGTTCTCAGCGGAGTCTCAGAGTCTGGTTCTCACTCCACTCATTGGAGTGGCCTTGGGCAACCTACTTGGCCGTGGTTTCCTCATCTGTGGAATGGGGGCGGTTAATACTAATACTCACCTACTTGGAGGCTATAGAATTAGGAGATTTTAATAAGATAATTAACACAAATTGTTTGTTATTAGCACGGGGCCTGGGAGCAAACACTCATTAGCTTGTAACTCATTAGCTAGTAACTTGATGATTATAACCACTGCTGTTTCTGGTTCACGTCCTCCTTCTTTTAAAAATGACTGTTTCTCACCCCAAAGGTGCCCTCCTCTGCAACATCTTCGATGTTCCCCCTGCTGTGTCCCCTGTACCTGGGAGCTCCTATCGGCCAGTCCTGTTTTTAGAGCCCACCTTCCACTGGGCTCTTGGCATTTTAATTTCTGTCATTTTGGCCGAGGCTTTACTCCCTCATTTCTCTGTTGTCACTAGCTTCCTCCTGCGTCTCCCTACCTCCAGGTTCCGTCCTCTTCTGCCTGTGGCCTTCACACCCCTGCCGCTTCCCCATCGGCACCCAGCACCGCCTCCCTCTCTGGCTCCCCGTCCCCACCCTGCCTCCGTGCTGCCCTCCAGCCACGCAGCCTGCGCGCTCTCTGGTTGCCTGTCCTCTGTGACCCTGACCTAGACAGCCCCTCCACAGTCCAGAGCTGTCACGATGGCTCAGGGCTGGGATCCAGCTGACCAAGATTGGCACTGAATAGCATGACCTCAGGCAAGCTGCTTGGCCTTCCTGTGCAACAGTCATAGGTGCCTCTGAGTTCGAATGAGGCATAACTGAGAGAAGTAGGTAAATTGCAGGGATAATTACAGCACCTGGGACAGGTCACCACCTTCTTCTCTAAGCGGTGTCCTCCTGGAGCAGTGTCATGATTTCCAGGGGCTTCTGCCTCCTGTCAATGTTTAGAGCACAGAACATGTGCGGTGTGCAGCCAACACACAAACACATACAGGATCTGTAGTTCCAGACTCATGGTATATTATTTTAAGGGAATTGTAAGGTGTTGGGTTTTCTTATTGTTGCAAGCAAGACTCATAGTGACCGTGAGCTTGGGCACTTGGTCAGTATGGCTTAAAGACGTATTTGTGGGGGCGCCTGGGTGGCTCAGTCGGTTAAGCGTCTGACTCTTGGTTTCGGCTCAGGTCACGATCTCACGGTTCGTGGGTTCAAGCTCCGCATCGGGCTCCGCACTGGCAGTGCAGAGCCTGCTTGGGATTCTCTCTCTCCTACTGTCTCTGCCCTTCCTCTGCTTGTGCTTTTATTCTCTCAAAATAAATAAAATTTTTAAAAAATTAAAACACTTAGAAGAAAACGTAGGAGTCTACCAGTATAATCCAGGGGCAGGAAAAACCTTAAGTACACACAGAAGCGGTCAAAGTTGAGGTGAGCATACTTAACTATGTAAGGCAGTCGAGCCGCCTGGTTGGCTCAGTCGGTTGAGCATCTGACTTTGGCTCAGGTCATGAGTTCGTGAGTTCTAGTTCGTGAGTTCTAGCCCCGCGTCAGGCTCTGTGCTGACAGCTCAGAGCCTGGAGTCTGCTTTGGATTATGTACCTCCCTCTCTCTCTGTTCCCCTCCTGCTTGTGCATGCTCTCTCTCTCTCTCTCTCTCTCTCTCTCTCTCTCTCTCTCAAAAATAAATAAACATTAAAAAAATTAAAAAACAAACTATCTAAGGCAGTCGACAACCATGAGCATATGTAAGGAAATACTCAGAACTCACTAGCAGTGAAATACAAAATACAGTCACAGTGAAGCGTCACCATACCCATAAGACCAGCAAAAATGGTGATGGTGGGGATGCTTTTGTACATTGTCAGTGGGAATGTGAACCATTAAGGTCTTTTCGGAATGCAACATGGCAAGCTTATCTGGATCCTGATTAGGAGAAATTCGAGAAAGTTTTCCTGTTTTCACACAACCGGGGCAACCTGAACACCTAACTAACCATTTGATGATATTAAGGAATTATCCTTAAATTTTTTTTTTTAATTTTTATTTATTTTTGAGAGAGAGAGAGACGGGGGGGAGGAACAGAGAGAGGGAGACAGGATCCGAAGTGGGCTCCACACTGACAGCAAAGAGCCCACTGTGGGCTCGAACTCACAACCCTGCAAGACCACGACCTGAGCCAAAGTCAGACACTCAACCGACTGAGCCACCCAAGCGCCCCCATCCTTAAAAGTTTAGGTGTGATAATAGTATTATGGTTTAATTAAAAAATTTTTTTTTTAATTTTTTACATTTATTTATTTTTGAGACACAGAGAGAGACGGAGCACAAGCGGAGGAGGGGCAGAGAGAGAGAATGAGACACAGAGTCCGAAGCAGGCTCCAGACTCTGAGCTGTCAGCACAGAGCCCGCGGCGGGGCTCAAACTCACGAGCTGTGAGATCATGACCTGAGCCCAAGTCGGATGCTCAACCGACTGAGCCACCCAGGTGCCCCGGTTTAATTTTTAAATTGTTCTTTTTTTTTTCTTTTTTCCGTAAGAGGTTCATCCTGAACTGTTACTAGTGAAATGATATAATGCCTGGGGTTTTACTTCAGATAATCCAGAGAGCAAGGGCATCAGAGGCTGACAGGAGAAAGCAAGGGTCAGCATACTTAACAGGCACTGGCTGAATCCCCACCACTGCCTGGTTTTTGTGCATAAAGTTTTATTTGGAACGCAGCCACACTCATTTGGTTATGTATTTGTTTAGTATCTCTGAGGCTCCTTTCGTGCTCCAACTTTTGCAAAATTGAGGACTTTCAGCAGAGAGCCATGTGGCCCACAAAGCCTAAAATACCCACTAACTGGCCCTTACAGAAAATGTTTGTGACCCCTGGCCCATAAGGAAGTGGATTTGGCTGCAAGTTCATAAAGGTTGACACTGGGGGGTGTGGGGGCCATGTTTGTCTATGTTTGGATCTTTCCATAACGGCAGATTTAAAAAAAAATCACAACACTTTGACCCAGTGTATCCCACTCCTGGAAATCTACCCATTGGGAATGAAGGCATCAATATGTATAAGCATGCTTACTAAAATGGTTTACAGTGGTTAAAAAAGTTTTTTGATGGCCTGCCAGCACGGGAATGCTTGTATAAATCATGCCCACCCACACCATGAAATATTATACTGTCTCTTTAAAGAATGAGCTAGAATTTTACCATGCCGCTTGGAGAATTTTTCATAAGATGTTTTCAAGTGAGAAAAGGAGGATGTTGAAAAGTCTTGTGCTTGGTGATCACATTTCTATAGAACAGTGGCAGAATTAACCCCTTTGGTAGGGAGGGGTGTGTGTGTGTGTGTGTGTGTGTGTGTGTGTGTGTGTGTGTGATGCATAACATGTTAACATGGCTTAGGGTCAAATGCCAACTATGGAAAAGCACAGCAAAACAGAAAAAGGAGAAAAACTGTACTTAAGCAGCCTCCATGATAGGATCCCATTTCGTCTTTCCGTAAGTTGTATCCATAGGTACACACGATTTGCTAAATTCCAAAGGGAGTTACGATTTTTAACACAACTGGAAAGGAGTGGGTATTGTTAATGCCTTGTAAGTAAGTAAGGAAATAAAAGGGAATTTGGTTAGGGTTGGAAGATGCCCAGGAGTAGGAAAGCAAGAAGTTCCAGTGACCCCGCCGCAGACCTGGGCTGGCTAGGGAAGCCTCTGTGGAAGGCTCTCCTGGTGAGAGAGGGGCGGCTGGGTGGCCTTTGGGCCGCAGCCGCTCCCTGAGCTCAGTGCCTCTTCCTCCTGCTCCCGGAGAAATAATGTTTCCCTGGGGGATGAAAAGCATCCCTTTGTGCAGGCTTTAATTGCCACGCTGTTGTATCGAGTGAATGAGTGGCAGGCGGGCACAGCAGCTGGGCACAGCCAATGCCAGGCAGCAAAGCCCGCTGCCTTAGGACAGCCTGGGCCAGCTGGCCTGGGAGCGTTGCCCACCTCTGCCCCCCACAGCCCCACCTCCTCCAACCCGGACCCTGGTCCCGGAGGGGTCCTCAGAGCACTGGGGAGGAGTCACTGGAGGGAGAGAAAGGGGTGGGGCGCCTGGGAGGGTCTCAGACACTCTAGAAGCTTATTCATCTCAGCCTCCTTTCCCCTCCCCCTCCCTCTTGTTTTTCAGACTGTCAGCATCAATAAGGCCATTAATACGCAGGAAGTGGCTGTAAAGGAAAAACACGCCAGAAATATCCTTTTGGATGTTGTTTGGAAGACTGACCCCAAGGAGGGTCAAGTTGTGGGGACCGAGGTCAGGGCGAGGCGTCCTTGCTCAGCTGCAGGAAGGGGAACCCCCACATCGGCCAGGCCTCCTGCAGGGTTTGAGAAGCTCGGTTGGCAGCAGCTGGCCTTCGAGACCACAGCTCATCATGAAGGGACCCAAGGACCCCGCCCGGCCTAGGACTTGAGCTCCTCAGAACTGCCAAGTCCCTTGACATCACTTTCCTTTGAGAGATTTTCTCGGGCCACAGGAGTGACTTTTCACCTGTGTCCTCAAAGCACTTCAGGCCCTGCACTTGGCCCATAGGGCCACACTGACCACCCCCTTGGGAACATGATCGTCTCCCCTTCTCTGATCATGAAACCCAAGCAAAAGGTCTCGGCTGCAATGGTTGGCCTTACGAAAGTGCAGGGGCTCCACCAGGGAAATAAGATCCACCTGTGTGGGCCAGTTCACCCCAAAGGCAGCAGGGGTGAAGAAGACAAGGACCCCAAGGTGGCTTAGGGAGCTGGTGGCTTGGAGGTTCTCACCAATCGCACCTCCTGGCCCCCACGCCAAGTTTGGACCTGGGCCACTACCATCATGGGTCGTGTCTTCGGAGAGAAGCGCAGGCAGCCTCCTGGCTGATGGGTCCCTTGGGATCTGCCCTTGAGGCATAGAGACCAAGAGCTGGAGGGCTGATCCTCAAAGGCCAAAGGAGAGGCTGCTGGTGTGTGCAGCTCGGGGCGAGTGGAGGCTGGGACGAACAGCTCCTTCTTGCCTGGGCTCATCATGGTGGCAGGGACACAGCCAGTCAGCTCGAAACCGCTCATCTCGAAGCCGTCCCACCTCAGCCCCTTAAGGTGGCGGAAGAAGCCCCGGACTGCTGGTGCGATGCCCCACACCTGTCAAGCCCCTGGGAGGTGTTGCTAAAAGCACGTGCTGCTCCTACTGGCGGAAACGCAGCTTGTGTTTGGTGGGAAGATACTTTGGTTGGATTTAGGGTTTAGCTGCAGGATGGGGGCTCTAGAACTTTGCCCAGGTACCCCAGAAGCCTGGCTCAACAGTGAGCCTAGTGAGACCTTGTAGACCTTGCCCTTTTATCCCCACAAAGGCACAGTCCCCTTGCTCTACTGAGTCGAGAAAAGCCTTCATTATAAGTGGCCCAACTGCTGGCCCCGCCCTGCCAAAAATACTGATCAGTCCGAATGAGACAGGAAATAGAGAGAGAGAGAGTTTTCAGAGACTAGTGTGCTCCAGATGGGGGACTGGCGGGGCCACATCACACCCTCTCGGGAAGGCTGCCTGGGGTGATGGAAGGGACACCAGGAGATTCTGGAATCCCTCCTCTACAGCAGTCTGGCTTGCTCTGGAGCCTCGAGTGGGTCCAGCGGGGGGGCCTCCCAGAGACTTCGCCCCCTTGTCTGTCACATGAAAGACCTGGGCCAAAGAAGATTTGAAACGTCTAATGTTCCAGCTGTAACATTCTGTGAGTCTCTCTGATTCACCATTAAGAGGTGGATAAACGTTGAAAGGGTAATTCCATAGGGTAGGGTTTTAAAGCCTAAAGATATCACACAACCTTTATTCTTTATTGATTTTTTTTTAAAAGACTGTCAGCCACCCTCAATAACAATTGAATAAGCATTTGGAAGTCTGACGTCAGAAATGCTGTTCAGACAACCGTTTATCCTTAGGTGCCTAACTGTGCCCACCCCCACCGCGGCATCTGCTCCTAGAGGGCTGGCGACTGAGTCTTAACTTTTTTTTATATCCCTGAGTGCCTTTTATAGTGCCTGACACGCAATGGGTGCATTAAAATGCTTATGAAATCAAAGGACAGAAAGGTCTCCTTGCCTCTTTCAAAGTCAGGGTGGCTGGCTAGCTCTCTGCAGAGGGGTTGGGAGCTATCTACCGCTCCTCTTGGCTTCTGTCTAGCCCGAGGGGGCTGTACTTGAGGGGAGACTGTAGTCATTGCAGAAATCACTCTAAGACCAAAAGCTGACTTCAGCTTCTTAGACCCAGAAGTCTGTGTTCAAGCTCATCCCCTCTCGAAATGTAAATTTCAGTCTGGGGAAGGAACTTTATGATACCTTCCAGCTCAGAAGCAAAACAACATGTGTTCTGGATGAGTCATGTAGTTCCCTGACCCGAGGCAAGTTTTTCTGGCCTGCTTGGCACCTTGCTTCTTACCTAAGCTTTGACAAAGAAGCCTGTAGTTCTGGGGAAAGACCTGCACTTGAGGGTTGATGGTGCCTAGGAATTGGGTGTGTGAGGCCTATTTAAACGAACAATTACGAAGGAAGTGTGGACATCCCCTACTGAGCCCAAAGGGGCTCACGAATTCCACATACAAAGAATTCAGAGTATTGGGAGATTAATGCATCCCTGGTTGAGGCCAGGCAGCTTTGCAGAAGCGGTGGGGTGTACGAGTCATTTTAGGTTTTGGGGGACAGGCTTCCAATGTGGTCAATGGTATTGTAACAGTGTCGTATGGCAATAGGTTGCTAGTGGCCTGTTGCAGCCTCCACCCCAGGGATTGGCTGCCCGAGGCAGGGCCCGTGCCTTTGTTTTCCATGACCCTCCCTCACCATGCATCCTGGGCACCCACCATGAGAAAGGGGCACAGACCTTTTGGTCTGTTGTCAACCGGCTGCCCCTCTCTAGCAACGCTGTCCTCTGCTGGAAGTTCTGCCACGTGTTTCACAAACTCCTCCGAGATGGACACCCAAACGTGAGTTCCTGGGGCTGCAGGGGTGACCAGGGAGCCCGGGGCCCATGTGGGGAAAGTGGCTGGGGCACAGGGGCCGCTGGCCACTCCCGCCCTGAGGGCCTTTTGGTTACTGGTGAGAGGAGGGCTTGTCTGTCTGGTCAGCCTCCCTGCCTGCCCCAGCCCCATCTTCTGCCATCCTCTGTCTCCTTGCCTTCTTGTCTCTCATCGGCGGATCCCTTCCCTCTCCAGGTCCTGAAGGACTCTCTGAGATACAAAAATGAACTGAGTGACATGAGCAGGATGTGGGTGAGTTTGGAGATGCAGCCGGGGGCCACCTGCACCTTCTTACCCCTCCCCAGAGGCCATAGAACAAGGACTATGGACCGGAGTGAATTTATCTCTTTCAACTTGCTTAGAATTTCTCTCATGAGCATCACAGAGGGGTCAAAGATGGCCCCCAAACAGTACCATGATATCCATAGTCTTACTCGGGGGCCCTGGTAGCCGTAGGGAAGTTCTAGGGCCTGAGAGCTTCTCCTGCCAATGGGAGCTTACATCAGAATGTGCTCCAGGCACTGGAATCCCTCAGCAGTGACTGCCATAGTTCCTGTGTCTTTCCTTCTGATGGCCCCGTGCAGGTCACAGTACATTGAGAACCAGCATTCCCAATTCTTAATGCCAGGGCTTTTTCTTTCCTGTCTAGGGATTCTCAGTGCCTTAGGATGAAGGAGGAGGTAGGTGGTGTTATCAGCATCAATTGAAAAAGAAGGTTTTTATACACACACCAGAATCCCTTTAGATTCTGTTGTCCAAGGAGTATGTGTGTAGATGGGGTGTAATCTGCATTTTGTTTTTGTTTTTTTTTT